CAGCGAAACATTCGTCCCAAGGTTCCACCTACTGGTAAAATTAATGGCATCCGTAAAAAGCCACTCAACCGAGTCTTTTTCCGTAAACGCCCAGAACTTGAACTGGAGCCTGAGGTTAGGCCTATTCCTGAAGCCAGAAATGGCTCTGAGATTGATACTACAGAACAAGAACACCGAAATAATGAAAAGTTAGATATTGATGGTTCACAGTTCTCAGTAGAATCGGATGTGGCCTTGCCAGTTGAACCTGTTGCAGTTGGTAGTCTTATGGGCACCACAGCCAATGACGAAAACATAGATGGTTATGATAATGAGGATTTTGGTGATTTATTCTAGGTTAGATAGAAAATATGGTTCATGGCGGGAACATTAATAAGCTTACATATTTGTATATTTGATATTAAATTCACACACAGGAATGCCTTTGTTATAGTCATTAGTATAATATGGTTGCCTTCGTTTGGGTATAGTTTCATGCTAGGATATTTGGTCAAATATTGCATTAATCAGACTTTCTGAGGTTGACTCAAAAAAATTCAATGCCGAGAGTTAGAATAAGCACTCGATTCTTTATCCATACGATGGAGAAAAATAAATTTAAACAATGGGTCAAAATGTCCAAAGGGCTTCGTAAAAGCCAAAATAATAGTAACAAGCAATTAATCCAATTTGACGGCAACGAAGTTCAATCTAACAGTAGCATGTTCGAAAGCAGACCAACAGGGTCGATAGTTGAGTTTCCAAACCCACATACCCCAGGCAACTTTCATGAATGTCGTAAGATTCATCAAGTACAACGTAAACCGCGAGAGTGTGATCTCAAATCCCTAGTGACCCATGAGCCGGAATTTAATAAAAATTTAAAACGGCCACATCCACAGCCACCTTCACAACTACTGTCACAGGTAAGATCATATCCACAGCCACAGTCAAAGCTACAACCACCATCAGAACTCAATTTACGGCGTCTACAAAATCTAAATACAAACACCACATTACCTTACCCGTTGACAGGCGATTATCAGTTAGAAAGAATTCCTCAGACACAGTACACTGCTGCTGAAACAAGGCCTCTTCGCTATTCTCCAGCTGTTGGGCGGAATTCTGCAGTGAATACCACGCAGGCAATGCCATTTTGGAGGCCCCCGAACTCACACATCAAAACTATGCAGGTAGTATCATCAAAGTACAATACTTTACAGAAAAAAAATTCGAATGAGGTAACGGAAACTTGGCCGAATTCAATGACCCAAAAGGCCAAAATTGTACTATTAACTTTACGAATCACCGTGGGGTGTTTGGTGCTTAATCATCAGCCTTTGTGGGGATTGGCTTTGTTCGTGTAAGTTATAGAGTATAGTATTTCTTTCTTGAAAATCTTTTTTATTGTTAGTACTTGTTTTAACCTATATGAATTTTTTTCTAGGCTTTTCTTTGGCTCTTATGCTATCGATGAAATGGATAACAGGTTGAAGAAATGTAGGTTAATGCAGACTCAAAATAGAAATATGGCAGGTTATGCGACTTGTGATAATACTGACTACAGAAAGATAAAATAGACAAGTCAGCACTTCAAACAATAAAAACAAATACTGACAAGGATATATTAAAAGTGTATATGTATAAAATAAAAGCATGATTATTACTTGAACAAGTAAAAATATTCAATAGCACACGACACGAGATAGTAAGACCAGACCTTAAGCAAGGCAGGTAAGCCAACGGATCTCAATCTAGACAAAAGTGAAAACTATCAATACAGATTCAATGAGAGCTGCTTTGGCGCGAGAAAATCATATAAGCTAGATATTGAGTTGGTGATATGATAGCTAGGCTCTGCGCTGCTAGACCAGCTGAATACTGTTGTCGCTGTATAACTCTGACCCTCTTTGAGTTTTAACCAAATTAGCTGCTCCTCTTTGAGCCAGCAGATTTTCCAATATCAGCGTATTTTTACTATTTGCCTTGTAAATAGCTCCAGCGATATCACCCAAAATGGGGGTTATTCCAATAAAAAAATCAACCACAATATGTGACATCATTTTCGCGCGTACATTAGCCGGCAGTCCACCGTCAATAGATTCGCATGATCTTAGAAGTCTGAGAGCTAGCCATAGATTGAAGAAATCGCCAATTACCGGTAAAAACCCAATCACTACTGACCAACCGCAGGCTAGGCCACAGATGTCAAAACACCATTCAAGACGGTGAGCCTTGGTACGAGCCTTTCGGAGGATTTTTGCATCATGTTTGCTGACACCATTGGGGATAGCACGTTTTTGTTTTCGCACTCGTTGCTTTGTTGGTTTTGTGGAAGACGAAGTTGGGGCGGTTTGAGAATTTGCATTAGCGTTGATATTAGTATTAGTATAATGCGGTGCTACTGCCGGTTCCTCGACGACCTCATCCCATAAAGGGTTATTCCCCTTCATCCCAGGGACTTTCGTAACATACTAAAGTAGGGGGCAACACAAGTCAGTAATTAGAAAAAGAACCCTCATTTAGAGTATTTTGGTGGGTGATCCAGTCACAAATACCATAACGTGGGAAGTAGGCAAAGCCGAAGGAAAACTTACTTTGGAGCCTATGCTCAGACCTATTTTTTTGAAAATAAATGACATTTTCTGATATTTTATCTTACTTTTACTCTGGTGATGATTTGAATAGAAGTAATTCTCAGTGGACTGCAATCGAGAATAGCCCTGATATTGTGGTGGATCGGGGCAGTGAGGCTTGAGGCGCTGACATAAACGGTTAGGTCACTATACTAACATATGTTTACAAAAAAGTGTAAGATAATAAATTAAACTAAACAAACCCGAAAGAAATAGATAATAAAAGAGAAATGAAAGGAAGCAAAAAAAAAACAAAAAAATAAGACTGAAAAAAATAAGACAAAAAAAGCTTGATGAAATAAAAAGAAATATCAGATAATTCATAAAGGTACAAAAACAACGTAAGAGTAATAAAGATTCTCGGTAAGAACTACTCAAATAAGATTAAAGCAGCTAGTCCAAACATGAAACCGTAAAGAACCGAAAAGTTAAATCACGTAGAAGCCCATACAACTACAATTCTTTATTTACTTTGAGTGACTTTGCTCAAGAATCAAATAAGAAAAAAGTCAATGGGCAATGGGCAATGGGCAATAAAATCCACCTTCTGATGTAAGCTATTTGACATCATCCTTTCTATCATTAATGAAATCACCAGCGCCCGCAGCAGCAGCCGCGGCAGCCACTGCTGCTGCACGAGCTCCAGGATTAGCATATACAGCTGGGGGTGTAGGTACGCCCTGAGGGTTATCAATCAATCGTGATTGTAAAGCTAAAATGTAATCGCGTAATTGCAGGTTCTCCTGTCGAAGGGCTTCGATAGTTACTTTGCTGGCGTCTAGTTCAGAGACTTTTGCTTCGAGGTCCTTGATATAGAGTTCCTTACGTTGACGGAAGGCGCGTTGCGCAAGACGGTTCTGTTGAGCCCGTTTAGACGATGACAGAGGACGGCCGCTTTGACGGCTGATATCCACGGGTGGAATGTTCATCTGTTGCTGTAATTGTTGTTGCTGCTGGGCTTGTTGAGCCTGTTGTTGAGCCTGTTGCTGAGCCTGCTGCTGAGCCTGTTGCTGAGCCTGCTGCTGAGCTTGTTGTTGTTGGTGTTGTTGATGTTGCTGCTGGGCCTGGTGTTGGTGCTGAGCTTGTTGATGTTGTTGCTGTTGCTGTTGCTGCTGCTGGTGTTGGTGTTGGTGTTGGTGTTGAGCTTGCAACTGGGCCTGTTGCTGTACTTGCTGTTGCACGGCGGCAGCTACCTGCTGTTGGTGACGGTTATGGTGGACTTGTTGGCTATGTTGAGATGAATTGTCTGGATACTTGTTGTCTTGTACACCGGCCTCATTCGCGGCATTGGACGCGGCTACAGCGGCCGCGGCCACGGCATCAGGGGTGGGAAACGACGAATCGTCTCCGGCACCGTGCTGAGGTTGACTAAAAGTGGGGTCAATAGGATTTTGGTCCATTGATAGTTTACTATGGGCTTTATCGTAGTCCTTTTTCTCGATTTCAGTCCAGTAAGAAGCGGCAGAATTGTTCATGTTGGATCTTGAGATTGATGATTAGATGGATGGGGTTTATAAACGAGCACCTAAATGGAAAGAAAAAAAAAAACGAAAAGCAGAAAAAACGCGTTAGTTAGGATCAATTAGAATCGGCTTGGAATAGGACTTTTACCAAAAAGAGACTTTTTTTCCTCTGCTAAACAGCGTCAGTTTTATCTCGCGACTGGCACCCTTTTCCCGTTCGGACCGCGACTGTTTCGACGAGTGAGGTGGCGTGAAAAGAAACCAAGACGCCCCTATCTACGCGACAAACTGAGCCAAATGGCGACAAGAGACCCACTCCAGACAGTCACTATGCGAAACCCGTACAATACCTACTTACTACGCGTGAATTTGCTGAAATTATCCTAAATCCTAGCTCCGAACGTTGTAGCTGAATTGTGTGGGACGGTTGGTGCTGACTGCAATGTTAAGTAAGGCGCTGACAAATACCGTGGTCAGAACCGTTTCGTTTCAGTCTTTTTTGGAGGTTTGGTTCGTGGGTCTGTAGTCTACGCTGAGCGAATATCTGAGACTGGCGGTTGGCTAATTCGTACGAGACAAAAAGTACGATCAAAACCCAGCATAATTATGAAATAGCTTGGATTATAGTTGGCTGTTCTATTAGTGTGGTGAGGAATTGCACGCTGAAACCATTTGGTAATTGTCATTACTTTACATGGTTTAGCTAAGTGTGCCTTGGCCTTCCTCTCTATGGTAAATACATGGCTAATGACGTGACAATCTCTAACGATATTGGATATGTCAAAGTCAAAAGTATCAACGCCAGGAGGTATATCCTTTAAAAGAAGAAATCCACCTGTCGTCACCTATATTCGTGTAAACTGGCTTATAGCCTAATAAACCAAAAAAATAATTCAAATGACTCAAAAATCAGAATAAAAATGGGCTCAACTGGGAATCGAACCCAGGACCTCTCGCATGCCAAGTTTTTTATAACCCAAAGCGAGAATCATACCTCTAGACCATTAAGCCTGATTTCTTGGTTATTTAATCGAGTTGGGATACTTGACTCTCAATGACTCATGAAACTAAGTACTAAATTTTAGCCGGCTTTTTGCTTTTACAATTAAAAATACCTAATTTTGCTCTAAAACGTACCTTTCTTTTTCGGTTTTCCTCTTTTACCGGTTCACAGAGAATGTACAGGCCGGGTAAACTTTCGTCGGTCTGTGCTTACGTCAGCTAGTGTCAGCCGCCTTTTGACCCAAATGGGCTAAAGTAAACAAACTGGATTTTTGCGTACAGCTTACAGCAGAAACTTTTGTTTTTGGTGTTATAGTCGGGTCAAGCAATCATATTCTGTATAACTAATCAGTGGTTTGTTGCTGGTTGTTGGTTGTATTATATTTAAGTGAATTTTTGCTTGTCTTTTTAAATTTTTCCTTTTCCCGCTCATATTGAATGGTATGTTCACTTCCGTTATGGAATCTGCTACAACGATAACCGTAGCCCAAACCACACCTAGCCCATGCCCGCGGAAAATAAATAAACTAGTGGTCCGAGGACAACAGTCGGTAAAGACACAGAGTAATGGCAGTCAGGTTGAGAAAACAGTAATGACAACTGTAACAACACCCTCCACTGAGGCAATGAGCACGACAGCTACACGAGTTCCGAGGGCTAAACGGCCCCATACCGACATCAAGCAATGGCGTCAGCAGTGGTACAAAGAATTGGCTAGTTCTACTATTTACATAGATGGTTTTGACCATCAATTTAAGCAGTTAATCAAGCAGGTCTTTTGGGTGCGTTTTCGTACCAAGACTCTCGAGTTTTTTGACAGCCAAGTTGTCACTCATGTCATCACTCGACGACGGCAATCGGAAATTGACCGTCTTCAGCCTTCATTGGGTGGAAGCGATATTCTTGCCAAAGCCCGTCATCAGGGTATTCATGTCTGGTCATCCGATAAAGTTTGCCGGTTTGTGACCAATTTGACCGGGTTGCCTATCAGAACACTGTCCGACCTGACTATCCTATTGGAGGTAGCCTCAGTTACCAAAAATGCCTCCGTTATTAGCCCTACAGTCCCCGCTATTTCTCGTAACCATCCATCTGTAATTGGAGGAGTTATAACAGAGTTTGCTAATGGCTCACATTTGGCGAATCTGCTCATGGAAGAAAAACAACGAAGCCCGTTGGAGTGCGATCGGGAGTTGCGTCGGAACGACCATGTTCTTTACAAAGGGCCTTATATACTGATATGGGACCCCTCACACAACTATCGACCCGTGGTCACAAAGGAATATAAGCCTGTAGTCCAAAGCGGCAACGTAAATCCTCAAGCTGGCTTGGCAAATAGTGGTGACTGGCCCCAATTTCGCATTACGGCCGCTGGTCGTTGTCCCTTTGTTTACGATGCCACAATATTTAATCGTGCCAAGCGTGTTGTGGCGCAGGTACCCGAGAATCGTCCTCAGAAGCAATACTCGCAAACGCCAGTTAAGTCAAATACGCGCGACATTATAGAATCTGGTCTGAATTCTCCAGTATCATCGGCCTCACGATCGCTCTCGCCCTCACCTTCACCGTCGCCAAGCGCAAAGTCATTTACACAATTGATACCTGGTAATTCTACACCCACCCCCATACAGACGCCTGAGGTTTCACGGCGGGCTATTAATGAGTTTAAAAGAAAACTTCAGCAAATGGAAGCCAATGATGGTGATTTATCTGTACTAGGACCCGCGCGACGCCGTTTGCAGAGCATAGAGAGCTTTAGCACTACGGACCCAACTAAACGGCCATCACCCCAAACTCAGTTATCGCAATTACAAATCGAAGCGCAGCCTCCACAATATACGGCAAAGCAGTATCGTCGGTCTACAATAACGGCTGGGTACTGTGAAAACTGTTATGAGAGGTACGAGGATTTTGACACACATATCACGAGCCGGCGTCACAGAAAATTCGCAACCAACGGCAAGTATTTCGTTCAACTGGATCAAATGTTACGGCGGATCGCGCGACCACTAAGGCCGGCGAGTGCCTATTGAATACTTCGCGAGTTCTGCTACAGTTAGAATATTTATACATACATATATACAAATACAAGGTTTTTTGAACCCCCTGAAATTGGCAAATAAAAATAGGAACGAAAACTAATATATAAAATGGTAAATTAAAGAAATAGAGTGATTCAAAAGAGAGAAAAGGAAAAAGAGTGGGGCAAGTTTACATAATAGAGCAGCTTTTCTTCTTCTTCGACTTGGTCGATCCGTTCTTATCTCGTTTGGACACTTTAGCGGGCTTGGTTGAACTAGCAGCGGTTACAGGGGCAGCGGCAGTTTGTTGTGGTTCAAATTGCGGTTGTTGTGATTGAGATGGTTGTTGTTGCTGTTGTTGCTGCTGTTGCTGCTGTTGTAGTTGTTGTAGTTGTTGTTGTTGTTGTTGTAGTTGTTGTTGTTGGAGTTGTAGCTGTTGCTGTTGTTGCAGGTGTTGTGCGTTATCCGAGGTCATATTGTTGGAGTTATACGCACTTTGGTAGCCCTGGTTTTGGTTAAAATTATTACTGTTATTCGTGTTGGGATTATAATTCTCCTGTTGCAAATTGAACGTATTTGTATTATCGTAGGGAGCACCACCAGCAAAGGAATTATTATGGTTGTTTCCGTTATCGCTTGGGCCAGCTTCCGGTTGGTTATCAGGGACGGGAGGGGGGTTTCTTACTATACGGCAAGAGCGAACACAATCGTAAAAGGCATTTTCAATATTGACGTTTTGCTTAGCAGAAGATTCAAAGAAGGCGTACGCGCCTAATTCCTTGGCCAGGGCCTCACCCTCGTCGTAGCTGACTACACGTTCGGTGGAACGATCAGACTTGTTGCCGACGATAACTATCGAGTACTGTTCGTCGTCTTCCTTGACCCGTTCAATCTGTTCGATATAGGCCCGGATTCGACTGAATGATGAGCGGGAAGTGATGGAGTATACCAAGACAAACCCCTCGCCGTCTCTGATCCACTGGTCGCGCAGGGCGGTATACTCCTCCTGGCCAGCGGTATCCAAGATTTCCAGCATTGCAGGCTGGTTGTCAATGATTACCTGTTTGCGGTAAGAGTCCTCAATAGTAGGGTCATAGGTCTCGACGAACCGGTTTAAGCATAGCTATTCATGGTTAGAAAGAAGTCGACAAAAGAGTATAAGGGGGAGGTACTGGGAACTATGACTACTTACTTGAATGGTCAACGCGGTCTTGCCCACACCACCGTCACCGAGGACAATTAGTTTATAAAGTGTGATTGCGTCACGTCTGGACATGTTTGTCTAGAAGTTTTTCTAAAAAAAATGGCTAATCTGCGCTTGATGACCCAGAATAAAGAGTCGAGTGGCAGTTAAAGGAGGTCTCGAAAACTGTCAGGAGAGAAGCAAAGTTGGTTTTCTTTTGGGACTCAGTCCGCGGCGCCGCCTTTCCAGGGAGGTTGTCCAGCGACGGGCTAAAGATTGAAGAATATAGATATATTGGTATATGTTTACTTGTATATATAATATAAAAAAACACATTTAAAATATACAGATGCGTAATACACAAGGTATTTATTATTTACAGAAACATTTAAGCGGTTGAGCTGCTGTTTTATTTTGTCGACACGCCCTCGAATCTCTTTGATACCCACGACGGCCCTGGCGAGGACCGTTTACACGTACTTGTTGGTGATATCAAAAGAATTGCTACCTTGGGCAGTGGCGTTGCTGCTGGTGTCTTTACCAGAAGCCGGGGACGGGTTCTCGCCGGCGGGCCTGTTCTCCAAAAACGGCTTGTGTAGAGGTTCAGACCGCGAAGCCCAGACAGACTCGCTGCTCCCCTTGGTAGCCATATCCCGGGCTAGCTTTTGCTTATACCAATTTTGCACCTGGCGGGCCTTTTCGGCCTCAGAGCTAAAACTCTGTTTGATGCAAAACGTCCAGCGATCCTGCTTATCCTCGCACAGGCCGAGTCCACCATATCGCCAGGCATGGCGAAACTGTCCACCGATGGAATAGCAGCCGATGAGCTCCTCAAACGCCCGGTAGCAGCTCATTTCCACGGGGTACTGTGACAGTGTTGGCACACTGGTCTTTACCGGTCGGCCTTGAGCGTCGAACCCTTCAGAAGCCCGGGCCTCAACTGCGGTCAGCGCCCGTAAAATGGCATCGTCCATATCTTCGTGATCTTCTGCAGCACCAACCGTGGCGGTCGTGGCGGTCGCGGCAGCCGAGGCGGTTTCCGGTTTCTTATTGAACATTATTAATGAGAATTACAGCAGAAACGGGCTGTGTGATTGTATTCTAAGCGCAAGAGAGCAAGAGAAAGTTTCATCAAAGAATAGAAAAAAAGTCAGATAAAAAGTCCCAACTGAACCAAATCGCATCGACACTTTTTTCTTATCTTATCTTTTATACCACTTTTTATCTTTATGCTTATTTCCACCCGGTCTAAATTAATATCTGGCCGACTATCCAAAATCATTCGAATGTCTGCTTCCTCTACTATCGGCTCGGCTTCGAGCTCTGCGTCCTCTTCTACACAACGTTCGCCTGAACAATGGCGGGCCGTACTATCGCCGGCACAATTCAGGGTCCTGCGTCAGGCCGGCACCGAGCCCCCGAATTCTTACAACAAAGCTGAGTATTCGCCCGGAAAAATCGCACCCAGTCAGAGCTACCACTGTGTAGGCTGTGATGCGCCTCTATACCGTGGCTCTACGCTGTTCGATTCTCACTGTGGCTGGCCGGCGTTTTACGAGGCCATAGACGGTGCCCTGGATCTCGTGCGCGATACTTCTATGGGCATGACCCGTACCGAAATGCGTTGTGCCAACTGTAAAAGTCATCTCGGTCATGTATTTTACGATGAGGGGTATAAAAATCCCACAAATGAACGTCACTGTGTTAATAGTGTGTGTTTGAAGCTTAAGTAGCTTGGACGCCACCGCCACCGCCTTGAGTAATCTTGCTCTCTATGTTTATATCTGCGAAATTATGCAATCATT